AGTGCCAATTGTTTTACGTTACAGAAATTTGATTAGTCAAAAATCACGTTTCCGGAAAATTTTTGTGGGTGCGCTAGGGGGGTTTATCAATGGCGAGACTATTATAGGTAGTTCTGGTAAATGATGTACGTACGTACATATCGATATGTACAGTAACGCAATGTTTAGACAAAGCATTCGACCACCTAATTTTATCGGAGCTAACAACTAGTCATTTTATAAAGATCCATAGTACGATATAAGACTAAAGGACTTTGTCTCCGCCATTTTCTGGATTCAACAGGTTTTGTCTTCATGTGGTTTAATTCGGGTGTATACCTAGGCATAACACAAAACCATGATACGTACCATTTAGTACAAAGTAATTGTGTACGTATCGGTGTATATCCGGTATCTCGTGATAATGTTATATAAATTACTCCAAACTCGTCAACAAAAAACAGAACTCTTTCTTTTGACCTACGATTTTTTCCACAGTTACCGTTGTTTTATAATAAATGTCGGCTCAACTTTATCAGACCCTTGGCGAAGATCTGTTGGCTTCCTTCAATGAAAAGAGATACACGGACATTACGATAACGACTGAACAAGGAACACCTAACGCGAGAACTTTCCGGTCGCACAGATTTATACTTTATTCTCGTTCTCAATATTTTCGAGAAATTTTGTCTGATGGTAATGATATTGAGAATATCGAACTTCCAGACATTTCAGGTGAGATCTTTGAAGATTTGCTCGGGTAAGTAAGTTCCCTTGTTCAATTAAAACTTTAATTGTACAGTTATATAACTTTGATATTTCTTTTTTGCTAAGCCATTTATATTTTGCAATAAAGTTATTTCTACAGTGGAAAGGTCAACTTGGGCCATAGATCAGGTTCGGAAGTCCTTGACCTGTTACTCGGAGCTGAAAAACTTGCCCTTGATCTCGTCAACAGCATACAATCTTTCATTATTGAGCAACATGGTAACTGGTTAAATGAGCATTTCGCTCATATTCATCATGTGAGTAATAAATATGAAACCTATGAACAACTACGTGCATTCTGCGCTCATACCGTCAACAACTCCCCTGAGGTAGTTTTCATGGCTTCCGATTTCACAAATCTTCCCGAGAAATTGTTACGCGATATTCTTTTCCGGGACGACTTAAAAATAGACGAAGTTGACCTTTGGAACTATTTATTAAAATGGGGTCTTGATAAAAACCCTTCATTGAAATCTGATCCATCATTATGGAGTCCGGACGATGTCGAATCATTAGCAAAAACACTTAAAGATTGTCTACCTTTAATTCGATTCTTTCAATTTTCTGCAAAAAATTATCGTACTCATCTGCTACCATACAGAAAACTTTTGAAAGTTTCTCAAGCAAAGGTTTATGTTGATTTGAAAAATTATTTTTACATGGATAGTGTTCGACCCTCTTGCAAAATTTTAGGACCACGACGTGGACCAAATATCGAATCAATAATTCTTACTGCTAAACATGCTGCATACATTGCTAGCTGGATAGACAAAAAAGATAAAGACTCTTTACATTTTAGGCCTTATGATATTAATGAAAATCCTTATGAATTTCATTTACTTTTTCGTGGAAATCGAGATGGCTTTTTAGCAATAAATTTTCATAATCAATGTGATGGGATAAAAAATACCATTTCTGTTATGAAAATTAAAGGTTCTGAGGAAATTCTTGGGGGTATATTTTTATTTTTATTTTTTTTTATGCAAAATTCTTTTGTTTAATCATTAATATGTTATCGAAATCTAATACTGGGAGTTTAATTTAATCGCAATTTTAGGTTACAATCCAATCGAATGGAAACGCGTCGATTGCGTATGGGGAAAGACGCCTGATAGTTTCATTTTTTCTTTTCCAAGTAATGATTTTCAAGAGGCGATTCTCAGTCGAGTTAATGTTGTTTCAAAGGCTGTGAGTTGGGTAATTATCGGATACATTTATTGTTATCATTTTGTAAAAATTCGTAATAGGCATTTGATTACTAAATGCTATTATTTCTTTTATTTAGGAATTGGAATATGGTCCATCCTTTGGAAATGATTTAATAATGATTGGACCCAACCTCCAAAAGCGTTGTCTCTGTAACGTTTCGAATCTGCCGCAAGTGTATGAGAAAAAACTGCGAAATTCTTCAAACGAATTTGAGATAGTCGATTATGAAGTATATCAAATTCGAACAAAGGTGTAAATAAATACAGCATATATTGATCAACGTTTTGACTGTACGTCATGTTATTCAATATCTATTGTAAACAGTAAATATTTATCATACAAACTTTATATATTTAGATTACATAATTAATTCCTTCTAAGTGATATATATAATTTTCCTGTCAATTTTTTTGAATATAATTAATAAGTTTTAAATAAAATGGATTAATTGTATATTATATCATAATTACGATACAAATTTGTCAAAATTTATATAGCTATTTTACTAATATCTACATATAGATTTTAATATAATTCTGAAAGTGGTAGGTGGGTTTGAGTTATAGCAACCCCGGTAGAAGCGGATGGTTCAAATCATAATTAGTATTCACTAGTTCACCTCAACTGCGTTTTAAATTGATGTAAATTTTTATATTGTCGTAATTAAGCATTATCGATCTTCCTTATAGAAATTCTAAGGTGCCCAGAGTAAACAGTGCAAGGCTTTGGTGCAAAAAAAAAAAAAATTCGATCTTTGCTTTTCTACTCCAAAACCATCATTTCGCACTGGAAAATATTGCCTTAACTTGATATTGGGACTAGAATTAAGAAGAGTTAGTAACAATAGTGAAGGTAAAGGTAAAATAATAGTATTTTGGTAGTGTTAAAAAGAAGATCGATTCTTTTTATTATAAAAAAGATTAATGTAAGGTGTGTGTAAACAATATCGAGAAAGAAATTGAGAAAAATAAAATAAGAATTATTAAAAATTCACAAAATAATAGAACGAATTTTTACAACTTATTTAAATTGTCAATACCAAATATATTACTAATACTCAAACTTGTTACATTATTAATACTATCATTATCATTCCTTTTATCAAATATCATCTTCAAAATATTGTTCTCAGTTAATCTCATTGTGAAAAAATCCTTTCACAGCATATTGGCCTTATTAAACATAAAGCTAAACTTGCCACACTATTTCTATTAATACTATTTTGTATTCTCAAATTTACAATATCAAAAACATTAGAATATTTAACTTCAATACCACATTCCTAACTTTTTCAAATGACTAAACAACAAAGATCTTCTTGAATTATCTACTCAAATTAGAGTTTAACAACTTCAAAATAATCTTTAGTCCTCTTCAAGTATCCTAATACACTCTAACTCTATTATTAATAGACCTAATAGACATTCTACAAGTTTCAAAATAATACAACTCTTCAAATATATCAATTGCTCTATTAATTCTAACCTCTACTCTTCTATTTCTTTTACTATTCAAAAAGGTTTAATACTTTTTAAATTAATTCTTATTTCTTATTCCAAATATTTTACTTTTAAAAAACAATTTTATTACTACTATATACTTTTTTTTAATCAATTAACTACATTTAATAACTTTTGTCTCTTAAATTGAAAACATATTTTTTCTAGACTTAACAAAATTCCAAAGAAAAAACTTCTCTTTGGTTTACTTTTCTAGAAAGCCAATTTATTAACTTATTTAATTATATCTTGCTATTTAACTATCAATTATTTTTTTTTAATTATTTCAGTTTTAATACTAGACACTTTTATAAATACTCTAAGTCCTAGCTTATTTTTCTTCTAGAAAACCAAATTATTATTAATAAAGCCTATTAAAAATCTAACACTTCTTGTTATACTCTTATTAATCACTAGCAATATAATATTACAAACCTCTTATCTCAACTCTATCTTTTACTTCCTATTGTCACTACTCTATATACTAACTGTTTTTTAAACTTAAATATTATTACTAACAAATATACTGTTTTTATTTTTATAAATTATACTACAAAATTTTTAGACAAATTTACTCTAACAAAATATTTGATTTTCATGCCAATTATTTTGATCTTTTGCATTCTATTATACTTTCTATTATACTTTCTATATCTAACCTCTCTTTTCCTCTATTTAATACAGTTAACTTTCTCAAAACCAATCTTGTCAAAACCAATAACCTGCCAAAACTAATAAAAAATTAGTCTATCAAGTTTGTTCTTGTTATATAAATCTAATAGTTTGTTATATTTTCAAATCCAATAATTTTAAAACTAATACAAAACCTGTTTACTATATATACCAATTCTAAAAGAATTAAATATATAGATATTTTTGCTATCTAAATTCTTTTAATTTTTCAACTTAGCTTTGTCTTTAATATACTATAACTCACCGCTTCTCAAAATAGCAACCTTTCTAATTTCATTTTATATACTAATAAATTAGTTACAAATCTAGACAACTTCTAGTACTCTATGAGTATTGGGTAGCTACAAATTAACAATAGTATTATTTATTATATATTTTAAGCCCAAATTGAACTTTGGTTTTGCTCTTTTAAAGCAAAACTTCTAGCAATTCTGTTAGCTATTTACATAGTTCTACAAAATTCTATTTTTTTTTTAAGCAGTTCTGTTTTTATTCATATAAACTACTATGAGATATTATACAACAAGTTGTATTTTTACTTTAAGTATATTGTTCTAATCTAATAAAAACTCACCAGATAATTACCAAGTGATCTACCCAATGCGACCTGCCATAACAACTGTTAGTCTACTTGGGGTTCTGACTTGCTCGAGACTTTGTATCAACAAGAATACTCTTCTTGATTACAGACAGGCTGTTGTATACCTTGTCAGAACCTCTTTATTCCCTTCTAATTCTTCTTTCTTCTTAAGGGGCACGAGACAAAGGGGAAAAATAATAAAAGAGTTTTACGAAAATGATCAGAAAAAAGAAAAAAAAAAAAAACAGAAAAGAAAAAAAAAAAACTGATTTCGAAAAAGAAAAAACATAAAAAGAAAACTAAAGTTCTAACAGCACTATTATAACCTGTGCAAGGCTAAAAAATTATATATTAATTGCAACTGGTTAATATATCTCGGTTGTAAAGCTTTGTCTTATCATTTTGGACTCATTTTGAACACATCACCAGGATCGGGTATCTCTTAAATGGGGTACTGGTCTCTTCCTCATACTGTAATACCATGTTGATAAACAAAACAAACACATGGTTGCATTCTACTGAGTTCATCTGAATTTGGTAAGTATAAACAATACTGATCTTTTGAAGAGGGTAAGCCAAAATGCCCAATTTTTGTCAAAAATTTTGATGTAGTCAGCAAGTAAAGAAAAAAAAAATAAAGAGTAAACATTTGTACCACAAAAAGAGTATGGGTTTTCTTAACTAAATCAACTGGGGCCTTTAGGGAAGCATGCATGATACTTTGTTTTCCTGGTGAGTGATAAACTCTAAGCTTGTCAGCAGATAGCATATGAGAACTATCTGTAAATGACAAGTGCCATGCCTGCGATAAGTGATAAACTCTAAAACTATCAGCAGATAGCATATAAGAACTATCTCTAAACAATAGTTGCTGTCTTCTGAACTTGTTTCTCACATCTTATAGCTAGTTGATATCAGCTTTTGTATTTTTTTAGTTTACAGTTTTTTTAGAGATTTTGGTACAAATGATCATTAAAAAAAGTGTGTGTCTACAAAATTTTATTATTTATATCTATACTGATTTTTAATTAATCATTTCTAAATACAATAGTTTTTTGTATTCTACAATATCTGCAAACTAGTGTGGCGACTTAGTAAAGTGGTGGAGTTGTCGCACCCCCAAATGGCAGGTCTAGAGTTCGAATCCCATGAACGATATTTATGAAAAATAGCCTGTGATACGGTTAACGGCTATTCAATGATTGGTAGGATCTAGAAATCTGTAATCTCAGTCACACCATCTAGAATGGGAGCTTTGGCATAATAAATCTGAGATA